GTCATGTGACTGACTTAGCAATTTAATTTTCAAAAGTAAAGTATTTGTTTGTGTACTCAATCTTCATGATATGTTAGTAAAACGTAAAACTTTCCTGACTTGAATCTCATGTAGAGGTAGGTTGCTAATAAAACTCGACGATGGACATAGTGCAGTAATTAATTATTAGCTCGAATGAACTTAATCATCGACCATTGATAATCGAACTGTTGATAAACGCCACTCTTGACCACTTGACTCAACTTCCTGATTGACTAACCTTCTATTATATGAAAAAATACGTTACTAAAAGTAATAATCAAAGCACCATAAAGCCCTATCACCAATATACTGTGTTTATCAAGTAAAACAAATCAGCATCGGTGCTATGGTGTACATCATAGGCCTATTATCCATTTCCTTAACATCCTGAACTTGTCCGGCTGATGATCCGAGAAATAACATAAACACTGGAATACTGCCACAAAAAAAATATTTACTTCAAGAATTGTATAGATTACTTTGTTGCAGTAAACTATGATTTAAATGCAATGTTTTGTCAATAAAACATATTTTGAAATCCTCAGAATAACTAACACTTTGTCATAATTCATATATCGCCTGACATTCAGGACATGAGTAGAAAACAGATGACATAAAACTTATTACTTGTCAAACCCATATCTGCTGTAAATCAGAGATAAAGTATGTAGAGATCAACTTGGCATTTCGTCTATTCAGAACTTTTCCGTTTGAATATAAACTTGGTTAAAAATCCTTTATGAAGTGATTCGTTGTTATTATTACCGTCGATGAGTACGTTTATGTCTAGAAAGGTTAACCAAATGTTTTATGTTGTCACTGCTAATGCAATAACAAACATTCTCAACATCCTCTCCCTCTCCCTTTGCGAATATTTCAATTTCGTTCAGTTTAGTTTAGGTTTATGCGTACATGATAAACAATTACTACCATGCTTTTATTAAAATCTTTAATCTTACTCTTCTGCGTTGTTTCCACTGCGCTTTGGGTAATTTGTCATCATTATTTGTATAGATTCACATAAAATTATATACCCATTACAGCTCAAAGCCCCACCGTATACTTAATTAAGTTCTTATGAATCACTCATCTTATCAAAGAAAACTTATCATGTGGTAAAAACGTTAAGAAGCGAATGTGAGTAAATCTGCAAGCTATATCACCATAGGGCTATGAGACACAATAATATGAAAAAATATAAAAAAATATTGGATTTTTGGATTACATGACCTTTGGGCTTACAAGTTAGTTCTTTTAACAACGAGATCAAATGGAATTGTCTAACTGGCTGTTGTGTCTAACAACCAAATATAACTTCATGAAATAGAAAGTCCATGTTATGTTCGGATAAGCTAAGTCTGGGTACAATGTTGGTTATAGTAAAAAATACATTTACCTATATGTTTCATAAGGTCATTAATATTCAAATGTGTATTATTTTCAAGCAGAAACACTTTAGATACTTCTACTACTATAGGACTTATTTTTTGCGTAATTATAATACATTCAGTATCAAATTTCCGACTAACCACTGATAGATCACAGCAATTGTTGCATTGTAATAACTCGCGTTAGTTTAACAATGCAAAAAGCAATATTACTGTTCTATGTAACTAATTCAAACATATTCATTGGGACAGCGAGGACAATCAAGCAAATTGGTTTGCTTCGGGCAAACTGTTATGTTTTTACATAGTGTCTGGAGTAATTACGGCCTAGGGCATGGTAATTGCAATTACATTTCCAAATGAACACGAAAAACCAATGAATGAATCGGGTGTTGTTTGTGTTGTTGAAACACATTTCTCAAACTTATGCGTAATATCCCGTAGATATATTACGATCACAACTGATTGTTCTAGGTGATATCAGCAAATAAAATTCATAAATTAACAGAATCCATAAAAATTAAATGGTATTATAGTTGTTGTATCTAAACTTAAAATGTATAATAAAGCGTTATTCTTAGGAGGAGGACCAAGAACAAAATCGCATAGCGTAATTGTTTTTAGTGCTTCTTTGTTTGAAGTTCATTGTTGGAGATGGTGAGTTAATGTTGTTCAAAGGTTTATTGCGGACATTTTCCATCACGATGGTAAAAAACAATACACAACGTTTCGGGATCTGGAATCTAATCCTGTCCTCAGGTGAAAAAATACATAACTAACACATTACAACTAACAATATATGTTTATATGTGCATATGTGTTTATACGTGTATGTGTGTGTGATATGTTTTTAGTAATTAAAAATTTACTATGTCAGTAATAAACGATTGATAAAACATTAATCTTTTATTTAAGATCTATGATGTCAATTATATTTAATGGAACACAATTTTGACATAAATTAGGTTTTACAACATTATTTATCCATGCATGATTTTACAAATTGAAAATATGTTAAGAAGTTTTTAGAAAAATTCGATAAATAAAAAATATGAGAAAATGCACTGTTATCACATAACATTGAAATGTTCTTCATGTAGTTTTTTTGTGATACTATATTTTATCTAAACAAAATGAAAATGCTTCTTAGACAAAGAGCGCCAAAGTGAAGCTAACGTAGTGATTCACTTATCTCTTTGCTAGAGCCACATGACCCAAAAGAGATAAGATCTGAATCATAGTATGGTGTGATAAAACATAACAATATCTCTTACTATCGTTAATTTATAAGTAACATATAAAAAGGTGGAAAAACAAGTAATACAATTAAAGTCAATTTACATTTGTTTCGGTAAACCTTTGGACCAATATTCCGCAAATGAATAAAAATAAATATTGTTTAATGGAATAATTTGATCTAAAACCTTTTTATGTTTTTATTTTTATTTTACAGTTATCTTATTGTTATCTTACTTTATCTATTTTTTATCTTCATCCCTGGAATATTTTTTTTATCGTAAGGATATTCATACGCCAGTCAAGACTCGTTCGTGAAAAAAATGCCAATGAGTTACCTTTATCTCATGGGTTGTGCGTAACGAACATTAATTTGCTTTTGAGGGTGGAACTGTCACGCATTTGAGCTTACTGAAAACTGCGAGGCAAACCCCTAAACGTAACCTTATGGCGTAAACCTCTAGACCTAAAATCTTATAAATAGTTGATAATTGATACAAGTAGTGAATCAGGGATCATAAGAGTTTTGTCAATAGTTGCAGCCTGAAAGACTTCCCTTGAGGTTGGGCAGTTCCATAAAGTAAAAGTAAGGTACTTAGGAACTTAGGATCAATCACTAAACAATTTTAATAAGATCTTAAATTAGAGATATTTTCCAATCTATGTTGTATTCTATTACAACGTTTAAACTTATGTTATTGAAATGTTGGAATCATTTTCACTATGAAACACGTCCAATATTTAAATACCTCACAGATTCTTTTACATTTTAACATACATTTCTCTTGCTTTGAGCAATCTGTTTAATTTTACAACTTTTAACAGAGTTTTATCTTCACACTTTTTAAAGTGAAAAACAGGGCACTAAATTTTAATAAACCCATAAAACAGAATTTCTTTTACAATTATAGTAAAAATAAATGTTTGGAAAATAACATCGTAACGGTTTGTTGTTCATTTATTTTCCTGGAACTGTAATTCTCATTTCACGGATGGTAAGCATTTTTCCTCTGGCGAGTTAATTGTCTAGCACTTATGTAGTATTTTAATGTAATAAAGTGACAACCGTGGTTTTATGTAAAAACTGAATATATAAAATGTATACGATTCCACTGAGATACTTCGAGTGGTTTTTATTGTGTGTTATACGGTAAAATGGTTTGTATTTTAAAATAATATAAATTTAGAAACTAGTCATTTTTGACAAGAACTCTTAAAAATTAATTAAAAATTATCATTTAGTACTATTGCCACACTTATATAAGAGACACATTTTAAAATATCTTTTAAATCGGTAATTAATTCACATTAACAAAACTTCATCACGCAACTACTCACATATCACTTTGGACTTATATATAAAAAAAATACACTAAATTAATACACAACAGGAAATGGTCAAGCGTCAAAGATCTTTCAGGAAAACTTTAAATGTTGTCACATATAAAGAATTATAAAGCCACCTGAATCTAAAGAAACTTAATTAACCCCCAGACATTCTTTATCTGGAGTAGTATTTTTTACCCGATTGTTGCCAGCTTAATACAAAAATACTTATTACAATTTATTTGTTTTTAGTTTCCAAGTCAACATTACTTTTCCTAGGACTCTAGGCACGAGCCCGGGATTGTTTTTCACATTACTTCAGACTAGACCTAGGGGTTGCGGCATTATCACTTAGATAAAACCCATTGGTGATTTGGCAGGATTTGAACCCGGGACCTCAGGGACCTGGGTCAGGGGCTATTGTGAAGTAAGCTTTTGACAGCTCTATTTGTTTACATTGAAATGTCAATGCAAACCTAATCATTGTGAGTATTCCCATCCTGTCATGGATACATATCAATATTTACTTTTGAACACCTCACCTAAAAACTTTGGACATCCATGGGTGTAGCCCGAATTAAGCTCAGGGAAGTGAATATGCCTAAACATTCTTAGATATGTGGACCCTCTATGTGCTTAATTTTATTTAAATTGGTTCAGTGATTCCAGCGTTGTTGATTAGCATACAGAAAGTCACACACATACATACACACGCCATCTATTTTTTATATAAGTATAGATGGACGTTCTATTTAGTTTATTGTTGGTTAATATTAGCAATACCTTGCAGGGATTTAATTTAAGGTGATCAAAAAACTATGAATATTTTGTGTAGTGCCGTTTTAACTATGATCAACAGGTTTGAGGCTAAGATTTGTACAACATTAGAAACTTAATTTACTTTCGGAAAGAAGTTTCGGTACATCTTTGTGTACCAGTTTCTGCTAACTTCATTATTTGTACGGTCAAATAAGAAACAACTGTTGACTTAGACTGAAACGACTGAGCGTGCCAATCAGCTGTTTACCAGCTGTGTTAACAACAGCTGTTCGACCCAGTTGATAAGGCAATAAGGTGGCAGTTCAGTTCGGTTACTACTCGAGTGTAGTCATATTTCCCACACTTCAATCTGTTTTGATTTACGTAAGTTGTGATTGAATATGCTAATTAAAGGAGTTTACATAATACAGGTACATAATATATAGTGTGAAGAGTTTTCAATCAATACTTCTTTCTGTTTTACTATATAATAAGATATATTTACTTTAAAACTGACATTAATATTTCTTTTATTATTTATACGTGTTTTCAATCAATGCTTCCATAAAAAGATAACATTAACCTATAGTTATTTGTGCAACTAGTGAGAAAAGTGAGCAATTGAATCATTCGAGAGAAATCCTTACTCACGAGCCGTAGGCGAGTGAGGAATGGTTTCTCGAGTGAGGCAATTGTACTTTGAACTCGAGTTGCACATTATACTTTTCCTACAGTTACCATAAAACAAATAAATTGGTGAAGAAACATAACCTATTTTTATACAGAACTGAACTTTTAATATAACATAAAATGTGAAGTGACAAATACAACAGTACATCAGCTGACCAGCTGATTTACAGCCAGTGCTGCCAACGTATTTCGCGCGCATACGACGTTGCCTGCATGTTACGCGCTCACTATTTCGTGCCTTCACGTTGCAAATCTGGAGTGAGACAAAGTAATTAGAGTGAGACAATGTTAACATTGTCTCACTGATGAGCGAATTGGCCACTTTGCTTTCTCAAATCAGTGAGAGAACATGTACATTGTTAGGTAACTGTAGGAAAAGATAATAATATAACATGTTATACGACAAAGGAATAACAAGTGTATAGGTACCCCTTAAAGTAAATAAAGACAAGTCAGATTGCTGTGAATGTGTTTTAATGTCAATTTATAAATAGTAGTCCGTAAAAAAGATACATCTCATTCCTAATTTCATATTTGTCAAACTAATGATAAGAAAATCAATCTGAATCGATCTATAATTTTTCCAGTTAATAAATTCAAATAGTGTAATCAATAAATTAATTTTAACATAGAATTTACACCTCATATTCAATCCAAAACTCTCATCTGTTTAAATCTAGATAAATAAAATATTTTTTATGATTACAAAGACAAGAAATTGGATAAAAATAAATCTCTGGAAATTTCCTCAAGCGAAAATGTAGCTCTTAGGGATGGTTATACTAAGAAATGGGAATGATCCTAATAATGTCTAAATAGCTTATAACATATACCAAACACAGCAATGCTTGGAATGAATCAGTAATTGATCTTGAGGTCAATGGCGTAGGAAACATTCCAGTCGGCGTCTGTGTGTCTGGACAGCTAACATCGTCGTGTGAGTAAACAGCTGATTATGGTAACGTATTGAACAGCTGATGTGCCGGAAGTGTTTATTGGATGAAAACTGATTATTGTGACAGTCATTATCTCTCCGACCATGATCAGTCTGTTGTGTCTACTTCTACTTGGAAGTCTGCCTGGCTCGCTGTCACTGAGTTTTGTAAGTAAAGATTCTTAGACATTCTTAGATCACTATACTTATTTATTTACTAGTGTGTTGTCTAAAGTCTAATGTATACATGACTTTTGTTACTCAATTAAACATGTCAGTTATGTTACTTTTGTTTTAGGTGTATAATACTTTTTATCCGTAAATGAGCGTTTATTTGTGTCCGTAACGTACGACTTTTTTTAGGATTACTACTGGTTTTAATACGGGTTTAGAAGCAAAAATGACATTATGTTACAATCTTAACTGTAGGAAACCTGTAAAGATTAGGTACACATAGGTCTTGTACTTTTTACCATACTATCTCATGATAAAAATAAACATCATGTAATACATGAAGTCTAGTAGACTTAAAGTAAGCCAGATTTTAAATATTATAGCTTTCCGTTTTTATTACATTAGGTCTGATACCTATCGTTATTATAACACTAATTTGGTGCAAACTGATCAGTATTCCAAATAGAAACTAGAAAATGAAAAATATTATACGATTAACTATTCTGATTAATATAAAACCACAAAGGTTCAGCCGAATTTAGTTATTAGAATAGTATTAATAGAGTAAATTCTTTGGAAGGTATGTTTTGAAACTGAACATCGTCTGTACGTCACCCGATGGTGACTTATAACTTTCGTCACTGCATACTCTGTTAGCAAAATAAAATTAGTAGTGTTAGTAAATCAATCGACTTATTAACCAAAGTGTATTAAAACAATTCAACTATGATAATAAATACTTAATCATAACTAAACGAAACGGAAACTGTATTCAATAATTGTTATAAATTAAGTATTTAGGCAAACACCATGCCATTTTTTGAACAGGAAATATCTACAATTAGATCCACAGCACCATACAAACCCTACTTTTACATGAATAACAATACATTAATTATTTAATGATACAACTATGTGGGCTACTTTCAGGTGAAATATCAACAAAGAAGCTTTGAAATTGATTATGAACATGATGTTTTTCTCAAAGATGGCAAACCTTTCCGGTACATTTCCGGTTCTCTACATTACTTCCGGGTACCATCCATGTATTGGCGGGATAGAATTCAAAAATACCGCGCTGCCGGACTCAATGCTGTGTGTACGTAAGTGACATGTTTAATATATTTAGTAATTTATTGTTCATTTATGACCACAAGTTGGTTTGTGTTCATTTCAACAGTTTTACATTGTATCTTTATATTTTAGCGAATTTCCCTATAGGGAAGTAGCTATTACCGTAGGTCTCATGGTAAGACTTAGGCCCGGGACCGATTTACTTTTTAATTTTGATGTCCCCAGAGGCCAAAAACACCACTCGTTAAAATTTTTATATATGTATATATATATATATATATCCGTGAACACGATAAATTGAGTAATTTTTATCCGATTTTGATGAAATTTGGTTTGAAGGTGTAAGGCGGGATAAACTTGAATGAGTTCGCGATCCAGCATGATCGGACCATGGGAACAGGGTTTTATGGGGGGTTTTATGGGGTAAAAATTGGGTTTTCTCACTTTTGACCATCAAAACACAAAATTTCCCAATTTTTCTCTAAACCTTCTTAAAGAGCTTAAAAAAACAAACAATTCAGTATATCAAAGTGTTTTTATACGGTTATTGGTTACGGAGAAAACTAAAAAAATTGTAAATTAAAAATTCCCATGTTATTCTTATGGAGAATATTGTAAAATGTTGTAGTTTGCTTGTTTATGGATATCTTTTGATCAAACTTGGCAAATATATTCATTTTATATTAAGCAATAATTATTTTACTTAAAACACACACTTTATTAGTTTCCTTGTAGCAGCAAACCTAGGTACTCGTTAAACCTAATGTTATTTAAATAGATCAATTGAAAATCAATTCAGCCAAATGGAAATTCGCTTAGGCGTCAGGTTTGCTGCGGCGGGGGTATTTTTATCTTGTTTAGACATATTTTAAGGTTGTTTGAAATTTATTTTTAGAAAGCTTGGATTGTATATTTATAAGTTAACATTGGATAAATTTTCTATGAAATTTGTTAAAAAGATATGCTGCAAAATCATGCTGCAAAAAGTATTTCTTATGATCAAATAACTCTTCAGTATTTTTCATACAGTATAAGATAAAAATTCTTAGAATTGTATGTTATGTTTACCCATGCTTATTATGTATTCATGGGTAGCACGTTTAGTATAGGAAAGCAAATACAAAATGGGGTTTTCAGGTACATTGAATGGAAAAGCCACGAGCCGGTTAAAGGGAAATACGATTTCTCTGGACAAAATGACTTTGAGCATTTCATAAAAATAGCTGAGGAGGAAAACATGCTCGTTATCTTACGACCTGGACCGTATATATGTGCAGAGAGGGACTTCGTAAGTTTATTTTCTTAGATGCATTCTTCGTAGAATTATTTTTAACTTACAAAACCTGTCAGTTTAACTCACATAAAAGGCTTGAATTGCCAAAAACCTTAAATTATAATTATATATATGACTTTACTCATAGCCAACCACGATAGAACAATTAATACTAAATACTTTAGGAAGAATACCGATTAGTTATAGAAAATAAAAATGTAAGGTTTTCGTTCTCAAACATAATTTTTTTTTATTAAAAAAGTGTAAAATAAGTTTTCCTCTTGAAAATTTTAATCTAGTGGTATATAGGTATATTTAAACACACAGTTTTGGAATACTGGATTGCGGCAAAAAAAATTGTGCTGCAAAAGCAATTAGCTACTTTGCGTGTTATAATCAGTCCAATGAAGCCCACTTTCTCAGGTAACTGTAGGAAAAATATATTTTTCCTACAGTCACCCGACAAAGTTGGCTTCCTTGTACTGTTTATAGCACAGAAAGCTGCTAATTGCTGCATATTTATACTTTGCCGTACGGTTTATACTTTGCCGCACGGTTTATACTTTGCCGCACATCAGGATTCCAACGAAACAACACAAAACAGCGTGGTTCTATTATGCACGTAATCCGTGTACGCTTGGAAATAGGTTGGCAACACTTAAAGATAATAATACTATGAGCAGCTGATTGACTATTATAACTACGATTTAACCTGTCATTTCGTGTTTATAGTTTCGGTATTTCTGAACTTTCTGGACTTTTCTTTTAAACGTTTTTAAAACATTCCTACGATCTTAATAAACAAGAACATACCATTAAAGCATTTTTTTTTTTGGCGTGGAAACCACTTCAAATTACAAAAACATACGGAACTATATTCTCAAAACGCGGAGCACATTTCTTGTCGAGGAAAAATAGCGGAGTGATACGGACCACGGGTACTACTTTCTCTAGGGCACCATTTGTGTTGCTAGCTGAACCTAAAAACGTGTTGTATAGTGTTTGAAAGACTAATTATTTATATGCTTTATAGTAACTGTAGGAAAAATATAATGTGTAACACGAGTGAAAAAGGCCTTTGCTGCACTCGAGATCATTCCGCACTCGCCTGCGGCTCGTGCGTAAACATTGCTCTCGTGTGCAGCAAAGTGCCACTTTCACCACTAGTTACACAAATAACTATTCTTATATTCGTTATTAGCTCAAATTTATCCTACTAAGATTTTGATAGTAATTCTTATTTTTGTCGTTAGGGTGGATATCCTCCATGGCTACTACACGAAAATCCTGAGATGGGATTAAGGACAAATGAGTCGAGTAAGTTTTATTTATTACTTAATATAAACTCGTAAAATGTGCAAAATAAAAAAATATATTTATTGAATATAAAGTGTACAGTATATACCAAATTAATGTATGCTTTATCAATGATTATTGCTACGTTACTAGCAGTTAAATAGTGTTAAGCTTGTCCGTTAGCTGAATGAATGTTTCGTTAGTAATGTATATTTTGTCGTTTCACCATGCTTTATTATATGTAATGTTATAATTTGGTTTATAGGTCACACACATTATGTTTATACTTGGCTATCACAGTTAATGCCAAGGATACAGCCTTTGTTGTATGGAAATGGAGGACCTGTTATCATGGTGCAGGTAGGCCCCTAAACATTAAAATATAAGTAGGGCATATGTAAAAAATATTATTAACAAACTTAAAATTATTCTACATTTAATTCCATTTACATATATATTAGTGATCATTTAGTCCTACGTTATACATGTATTTTTTTATAAACACTACAAAACTGTCGTCTAACGCACATACGGGATATTAAACAATACAAATTAGGTTTGTATATCATTTTAAAAGGTAAGATACGATACATATCCTAATTTAGGGTAAAATAGTTTACATCTGCAGTAGTTCTGAATCTAAAGGCACACCTATACAATGATTAGATGATCTTCTCTGATTTCCGAACAGGGAATCAACAACTTTACAAACATATATTATTATTTTTGAGTTTCCTGTGCGGTTTGTTATATAATGTTATGTTTGCTATTTATTATGTTTGTATAGTCTTCCTTCGAAAATATATACAGCAAACGACACTTAAGTATGAGCACATAACTCCGTCATGCCCGTAATCAAAATTGACGAGAAGAATTAAGCTTTTCCGGCAAATCAATGTCATCCACCAACAAACAACAGCAAACATAAAACCACTTTTTAGCAAGAATACTCACTAAGATTGTCACAAACGGTCCCAAATCAGTGTACCAAGTTTTTCTCGAGGCTGGAGGAATCCTAACCCCCCTCCACACACCTTGAGGTCTGTGGTATTTTTATCCCCACCTTTACGTATGTTACAGGTAGAGAACGAGTACGGTAGCTACTGGGCCTGTGACCACTCGTATACAGCTTGGCTGAGAGATGTGTTCAGAAGCTACATAGGAGACAAGGCAGTACTGTTCACCACGGACGGGAATGACAGCGGTTACCTAAAATGCGGACCTATTCGAGGGGTTTTCATTACAGTGGACTTCGGGACAGTAGGTAAAATGTTTCTGGGACTTTATATCTAGGTGTATATCCATAAAAGGCCCGTTTTCTTGATATATTTCGAGTGTGTTATCTGAAGTATAGTTAAAACAGTAAATTGTAGTTCATGTTTTTTTCTGGAAAACCTAAGTGATAGTTTTAATTTCTGACACGTTTAGCTTCAAAGTAATAACTTATTTGGTTTAGAGTTCGTTGTATTAGTTTTTTTTTGTGAAAACCAAGAGAATTTGATGATTCGTTTATAGAAGAATATCCTATAAGATAGATGTATTGTATAAAACAAATTATAAACTTAGTTGTTGAGGTTGAAGCAAACCTACCGATGTAATATCATGCTTATTTAAGTAGTAGTTCCAAGATTTTCACAAGATAATTTTCAAATTAACTCCAACAACTGCACTAACACACACAAGACCAATACACACCTACTTACTGATGTTTACTCGATAAACTTAATGTTAAAAGGGTTTAGCATATTTACATTCTCATTCTATGTTTCTTTATTAAAAAGCAACAATTTCAGAAGCTGTTTTAAGAAGTGCTATATTATTTTACTGGTAATACATAAATGAAAATTACAGGAAATGTCACCAAAGCCTTTGAAGATCTTCGGAAGATTCAGCCACATGGACCCCTTGTCAACTCAGAATTCTACCCCGGCTGGTTGACCCACTGGGGCGACATGGAGGCTGGGGGAAGTATAGAATCTGTAGTCAACACTACCAGACAGCTGCTCTACTCCAACGCTTCATTCAACTTTTACATGTTCCACGGTGGCACAAACTTTGGATTCACCTCAGGTTTGGCTGGAGACATTTATAAGTTTAATTACTTATTTAATATAGTGTTATTTAATCAAATAAATATTTCATTTATCTTTAGAGGTTCAGTGGCAGGGGACTCGGCAGCTCTAGCTTTACCTCAAAAAAGTCATTTTTAAATTCATTTCATTTAAATACCAAGTTTGGTAAAATCTGTAACTACAAGATTTTCCCTTATAGAATATTAAATGGGTCATCGACCTTAAGCAATTTGTATCAGTAAAAACCTCCTTGTGTTTGAGGAAATTTTATACATGCAGAATGAACAGTTTAACTATTGCGACTAGTGTTTTTTCATCTGTATTTTTTTCTTTTCCAAGACCACCAACTATTTGGTTGGATAAAGCCATGAATCTATAAAACTAGATTAGATAATGTTCAGTAAAATATTGACCGTGATCTTACATTTTTACTACTATTTCACCTCTACATTGAATTCGATTCTGATAAAATTAATTGGGTTAATGTTTAAGCTTTAAGGTGCATATCTTATAGTTGCTTGTGTACCTCTTACTCTCTGTTCAAATCATACTAATACATATACAGTAAGCTACTGATAAATATTCCCTATCTATTACTCAAACCGGTGTAAAAACAAATCATTCATAATAATGTACAAGAAATCATAGTTTAAATCAAATTAAATCTTTCTGTCATGGCATTAAACAGGTTTTCAAATCAGTAGAAAATACATGCGTCTATATATTATAAAATACGATAGTGAATCCAGCTTGTTTGGAAGACTTGCTCGAATCTGCAGCCGTCATCAGTTTAGTTTTAAATTGAGTGTCAAACATGTTTTAGGTGCAAATAACCCACCTTACTCGCCGCAGATTACGTCTTATGATTATGACGCTCCAATTTCCGAGTCTGGGAACTTAACGGAGAAATACTACGCCATAAAAGCAGTGCTTGCAGAGGTGTGCAGTTAAGTTATGTTTATATACTACGTTACATATCGTTACATATACTCTGTGTGCATTAGAATATTAAATTATATCATTGTTTACTTATACCGACCTAAAAAAAAAACATTGTAGGTTGAAATAAGGGTATTAATTGTGTTACAGATATTACATTCTTTCTCATACGCAACGTTTAGTTCTTCAATGCTGGGCTAAACTTCCAAATGATGAAAACTTTAATTTATTAAATTAACATTAAATTTTGAATTTAAATTCTGTAGGCCTAGTGTAAATATTGTTAAAGCTTATAAACTATATATTTTTGATAAACCATATTTTTTAATCACTGTATAAAACTATAAAGATGAGTTTATCAATTTTATAATGGATATGATTAATTTATTTCCAAGAAGAGTTTGCTCATTGCTCATATAATAATTATAATTTGTTTAGATCACCATTACCCTAAAAACACAATCCTCCAAGGACGTATATATATATATATTACCTTTAGTTCTCTATACCAATATTTTAGCAATAGTAGGTCAACATGATCTTTTTTGCAGTTCACTCAAACTTTGGACCTACATGTTGATGACAATCCTCCATTTAATTATGGAGTTGTCAAACTGGATCCTAAAACGTCACTCTTCAACTCCGCTGCTGGTATCCCGTTTGGATATTTCGACAAACCACAAACCTTGGAGTCACTTGAGCTCTACAGTGGGTTTATGTTGTATGAAGCTTCGTTACCTCCAACGAAACTCAGACTCCTACAAATTGGAAGGATACATGACAGAACGTATGTTTATGTAGACAAGGTAAGATGTCATTTAACTTATTTGATTTTGTATATACCCAGAGCGTATGAGTATTGTATATGTTTTTGTACAATTTTAATTGTAAACTATTGTTGTCAATAATCATTTACAACCAACCTACTTAAAAAAACCAAGACAATACACGTTAGTTATTTGATTTGAAATTTTCAAACTATAAATAATTATTGTATTTCTGAGTAAACAATACTCTTGTCTTTGTTACATAATTTGACAGTAAAATATGATTACGAAAGTCTTAACTGGTTTTAGTGCTAGTATATGTGAACATATACTAATAATTGAAGATTTATTGCTGATAATTGCTGATATTGCTGATAATTGCTAATAATTGCTGTTTATTATTTCAAGTTTGACCTGGGTATCATTGATATATGAATACGAGTATTTTTGTAAAACTTAAAATATTCCCATGGATTTATTACCACTTCAAGTAATATTTCTTAAATCTTATAATTTTATTCCAGGTTTTAAAGGGAGTTCTAAGAAGAACGGAAGGCATTTCTTCTATGTACATTTCAAATACTGGCACTCTGTTGTCCTTACTGGTAGAAAACCAAGGCCACATAAACTATAGCAATATGACTGACCTTAAGGTAAATCACTGCAATGTGTTAAGAAATGTGTACAAGCACATTCTTATTTTAGTAGTTGGGTAAGTCAAATAGTCGGCTAATAAAATTGTTTTATCAGCAGTTCATTGATCACATTTTATAATTGATGATAGGTATGTTAATATATTTTTGTCATTTAATATGTGTTTTATCGTTCTTCACACAAAGGCTATCAAACTGTCATTCTCGGACATGAATCTCATAAAATGTTATGTTTTAAATTAAATGACGAATGACATCATAACTGAGGTGGTGCCTTACAAATTACTTAACAATTACTAATATAGAGGTTAAATACCTTGTTGCCAACGTAATTCTTGGCAGTTTTAAATGGCTACCGGTTTCGTCACACTTGTGGTGTCATTGTCAAGCCTAGACGTGGTTGTCGCTCGTATATGTAGCTATTGAGACTACCAATGGTTACGTTGGCAACAAGGTATTTAACCTCTAGATTAGGCATCATTGTATTTTTTGGAGAGAGTTTTAGTTTAATTTTGAAGTTGTTAGAATACTCAGTATCGAATCAAATGTGACCAATTTTAGTCCAGAGTTAATTCTTAGTATCTAAAATACAACTAACTAATTTATAACGTACAGAATGGATATAATGTCAAGCATATATTTGAACCCTACAATCTAACAAATAATTTAGATTTTATGTTCTCTTATTATAAGGAACTACTACAGTGCTAAATTGAATCTTTTGCACATTCAAAAAGTAAAATTAAAACCTACCTATGCTTACTTTTGGAAAACAACTTGAAGAATTTCAATAAATTGAATTGTTTACTAGTTTCTCTTCAACTGCAGGGTATTCTCGGTAACGTCACCCTGAACGGATCACCTCTTGGACCCTGGAGACACACCGGGTATCCGATGACCAACGTGTCGTCCATCCCAGGTCTACCAACCTCTACTAATGTGCAGCTCCCAGCGTTCTATAGCGGGACATTCCAACTGCCCAACTCTGGTCAGCCTCCCAGCGACACCTTCGTGGACATGACTGGCTGGGGGAAGGTATTGAAGATACTGACTAACGGAATATAAACGAAATGTGTGTTTATTTAAGCTTGTTTAGCAATTTTCTTCCGGATTTTCAGAGCAATTTACTTAGTTGCTATACAAACGAAAACAAAAAATTAACAGATAATGTTTTAGAGAAGAACAGAAAGTAATATGAGAGGAATCTATCTACAAAGTGCTGGAAAAGTTGTTATTGTTATGAAAATTTGTATTTTCAAACAGTAACGAAAATATGCGATTTTATAACTTAATTTGCCTTAATTAAGTTTGAACTCTCAAACAAACCCTTAAAAACGTTTAACCCTCCCTAAAACTGCCTTTATTGTTGAAAAGTGGCTATTAATTTCACAATAAAATTTCATTTTGCCAAATTAATTTTAAAGTTAGTAAAACACACATTGTTTATTGAATCTTCAGCAAAAGATCTATTAAACTCAAAATATTTCGGTCTGAACTATAATTATCAATATATTAATATATTCACCTTATTGTTCCTTCTCTAGCAAGGGTGGATGTTAAAATCAGAATTATACCCAATACAGACGTGAACCTGCACCTTTTGATTCTCCCCTTGTAAACGTTTTCGTTAAACTAAGACTGGAATCGCAACCCTAAATTTCACCATTTAGGTTAATCTCTTATTCAACCTGACTGTTTACAGGGCGTGCTGTACGTGAATGACATCAACCTAGGACGCTACTGGCCTTCCTTAGGTCCCCAGATTACTCTGTACCTTCCTGCACCTTACCTACGTCAGGACAACGTGTTCGTCATACTGGAACTGGAGAAAGAACACCCAAACAGAACCATCAGCCTAGTGGATAAACCGGTACTTAACAAAACACAGTCAGTAACAGACTCTGATACAATGAAAATATCAGTGGTGTATGTTTAGGAAAACATGAAGAACGTTAGTTTTTTGTAAACAAGTTATTTGAAAAAAATATAACTTTTTATATATTTTATGAGTCCAATCTATAGTTGTATAACTTCAATCCAAATTGAATAATCCAATGCACATATGTTGAACATGAATCAGTACCTAAGTATATAAAACTTATTTGAAACAATATTTTTGTTGTCAATATGCTTGTCTCTTATCTTATCTGTCTCACAAAAAAACCTCTACGAGAAAATCTGCACTTTATTAAATGAATTGCAAACCAATTTCCGTTAATTTGTAAAGGTGTCATTAGATAAAGAAAGTACCCTCTTTTGATCCCCAACTGTGAGGAAGCGCTCTGTAAGCCAAAAGGTTAATTATAGCAGACCAAATTACCTCTCTGCGTGCTCTCTTTGTCATCCTCATTTTTGTCTTTTCACTTTAACTAGTAACTCTCTTATTACGTAAAAGCTAATAGTTAATATAATTCGACGTCAACGTAGAAAAATCACGTTAATTATATTCATTTTTATAACAAGTCCTAACCAAGAGAGGTATTGCTTAGTAAGTAAAGATATGTATTATGTGAAATTGTATTTTGTATGTTGTCAAAACCTTTTATTACATTTTAATAGAAATATTGATTTTGCGCATTTTACCTGGTAGCATTGAAAAAGAGGGTATTTTGAAAGACATGTTTCAAGAGTTGTAAATAATGAATAGCAATTGATCAACTTATAATCAAAATGACAATGTTGTAAATCCAACGTTGTTTTCCGCTGAAATCAACCAATAATGTCCATCAACAATTAAAAAGCTAGCTCGGCTAGGGGTTTGACACCAAGCGAAATGGGAAAATTAATTGAATTTTTTTTACATTGAATTATTTAATAATTTCTCATCTTATAAATAGTAGTTTTTACATTGTAGAAATCCATGCAGGCACCTAATTTATGTGATAGAATTCATTTTTAAAATTAGGGTTATTTATTATAGAAGCGTAATACCACATTTGAGGTCATGATCCTCCGAAAAAGGTTCACTAGAAAATGCCTTTGTAAAAGTAGACAGTAATTTAATTAGAAAATGTTTTGATTCAGGATAGTGCTCTTATTAACTTGTTTACATTTCCCTTCAGGAGTCCGTCAACCCCACGGAAGGCCTCTTGTAGGTTGGTGATCCCAATTTCCCCTAGCAAACACCCAGATCCACCCTCTTCTTCATTCTAGGTTTTGAGTTTACTTCTTCTTTTGCCATTATTCTGTTTATAATGGTAAAATAGTTCTGGACAACCACTTGGCAATAAGCTGCACTCATAATTTAGCGCCCTCTACCCATTGTGGCTGCTGAAGTTGCAGGTCAAACAGGCACTTGCTCTCATTACTAAAAGGACACGGTTATTTCAGGAAACGTCTGCACTCTCTGTAAATCATCAATGACAACCGGGAGTTTCGACTTGGAAATTTCGTAGATCGCAAGGAAGCTAGGTATAGGCTTGTATAGGCTTACCTAGTATTTGGGCAAGTGGGGAATGCACAATAAGCTTTGGTTGTCGTGCCGGGATCCTGAATCCGCCTCATCATATAATATAATACTATCTTGTTATCTAGATACTACTATCTTAATATCCTCAAACTGTTATTCCATCATTGGTGTAAATTGATAATTTATCAAGATAAATTCTAAGTATGACTATTCAACGGTTAAAGATTTTTTAATTGTAATCACCCTTAGCTGGAGTCAGTTTATATTGAAATAGAATTCTTAGGACCTTGACTTAAATGGCTCAATACAGTCTCTATCAATAATAATATAAGCATTATAAACTCTTATTTATAATGAGCATTTACTTGTTTCATGATAGCTACTTTGTTTTAGATATAGTCTATCTACGACTGTAAAAAAGTGTACAAAACAAAGTTTATGGATTTAAAAATAAGTAAGTCATTTGAAACAATTGCGTTTGCAAAAATTAAACCAATTGTTTTTCCGAAAAGACCATAACTAAATTAACAAATATAAACAATATTTCAATGAAAATTGTCTACTACATAATAAGTTCATGTAATCAGTTGAATTAAATTTCATCTAATGAAGAACGTAGTGAAGCACTAGGTTTAGACTTATAGGAACAATAATAAACAATTGATAATATAAGTTTAATGGATGTAACTATACAATACAGGTACGCCGAGATATTTCGATTCAGACACAGACTGTCTGTTATGTTTTATCTTAGTTGCAACTACACAATAGTTGTGTCTGAGTGAACGATGGAACGTTTTGTGTCCAAGACAATCCGCCAGGTCGCATCCATTAATACTTGCCACGTGTTTTGTCTAAGAAATTCTCCCAAGACTTGAAAACTATGTTATTTGTTTTTCGCCTGCACAAACTGCATTTATAATACAATTGACGTTGTAATAAAAACATTTATTAATGATTATGAGATTTTTATGTGTGAACAATTTGTGTAGCAATATTACTTCAGGTTATATTATTTGGTTTTTGGTGTCACTAATATAATATGTATTTTTTCATGACAAAAGCATTGATGATCATAGCGATGCATAGATAGTTGGAAACACTATAAATTAAATAAACAGACTTTTTAAATAATATAAAATTTTTTCCTAGGGTATAGCTTAACTCTAACAATATTAACATAGAAATGCGTCATAATAATTGATAATTTAAATTTAAATGTGTGTAATTTAGTTTAATCTATAAGCCCCAATACAGTTTGTATTTTTTTTTATTTAGTAAGCTATGCAGTATAAGTTGAACAAGGACATGGGTAGGCATCTGTGAGATGAACAACAATTTATATAATTGAATAGCATCAGTGACTTAGCAGCTAGCTTAGCAGTCTAAGCTAAAAGAAAAGTTATAAATGAACTGCTTGCATCTAATTTTCTAAAACATCGACCTTTACAAACAGTTCAAGTTTGATCTCTAACGTGAAAGAACTAACTCAGCCTAAACGCGACAGTTGAAGAACAACGTCCAATTAACCTGGATGTCTCTTTGTGTGCGGCTCTTGTCTTTTTCCCGCCAATTTAGGCGTCCTTCCAAATTTGTAAGTTCCCCTCGGCTACACTGATTACTTCTTTTGTCACACACCCTCCAATTTCCAATTCACTAAATCACTGAGATCAAAGTATTTCAATAAATAAATTCGTGAAAATCATTCAAGGTTTTCTAAAATTAAAAGGCTTTAGCACAAGCTGTTACTTAATTCTCTCTATGTAAAAATGTATTTTTATCTAGAAATAAAATCAATAAGCAAAAGAAAGTTTTAAAAATCTTGTCGTTTTAGAACGAATCTCGCTTGGATATCAAATATATACGAAATAAGTAAAACCTCGACCATTGTACAATCGTTTGACTGTATTATTAGCATCAACTAAGAAATTCATACATGATTTTTATCATTTCAAATATGTATGAATGTGTTAAACAAATTTACTTTTCGCTTCATCTTTTAGAACTAATAAAAAAATATAAAGTGTCTCTTTTAGGTATAAGCTGTATATATTAAAGATGTATTGTATAGACATCCAATAACTGATGGTCTATCTACACGAAGCAAGTTACAAAAGCGACTTTACCAACGGTTGAACAACCCAGATCAGAGGTATCCAATTTACTGTCATGTTAGAGAGAATGTCTCTTGTTTTGAAAACGACCAGAAAGTAATATTTTTCACAAAGATGACAAACATCCCCCCCCCCACTTATATCCGGCATCTCAGGAAATACCACGTGGTTTTCCTCATTGCACACCCCCTGTGTGTAAGAAAATAGCATTTATTAAGTAGAAATAAATAAGTTTTGATGTGTATTGTGTAAGAGTAATATCCAAAACCAATATCCAACACTGTAACGAAATAATACCTCCAATATACGTTTTCATGTAAAAGGTTTTTGAGTAGAAATTCTACCAGCTATGTTAAATTCTTTTTGTCCAAAAGTAACAACCCCGAGTATTTAAGCTCTCAAACTTTAACTAATGTTCAAAATTAACCTCAAATTACTGGGTTATGAAATTATTACATTGATAATGGAGATTTGTAAATGGTGGGATTTGAACCTAGAACTCCAAGACATTGACTAGCCTCTTTAATCTCGTACTCAACAAGCCCTTTATTATTTTTTTATGTCCAGCATGCAAATGGATATTTGTATTATTGGTTGGTCTTATCAAGTAAATTTCCATCTTATTTATTTTAATTGAAGATGGACAACACGGTGAAATGTCTGGCTCAATAATAATAATGTTTCAGGTTGCTGTAAAATTTACGTTGACGTTTATGTAATTTCGTGTAATATCTCCACTGTAAGTGCAATTTATATTAAAACGAGCAGTAACACAACCTATAACAAAGTAGTCAAAAAAGAACCTTTTACCTGAAATTAGCAGTGCCTCAAGGAAAGTAATGACATTCTTTTATGTATTGTAATTTTTAATGGAAGAAGACCAGGTGAAATACGAAATTACTAATCTTGACTTATCGGAGAAATACTACGCTTTAAAACCAGTGATGTCAGAGGTGTGTACTGTGCAGCTTAGTAATGTTAATATACATTATACTATGTGCATATGGGATATATTGTTAACTAACACTATTTCCAACCACCTTAAACCATTACAAAAAGTTTTAACAATGCTCCTGGTAAAATAAATCTCTGTTTTCAAAGAATTTTACGAAACATTGGTTAGAGAGGCTACCATTTTTGTTTCCCTAGTACTACTACCAGTTTTCTATAAAGGTTAAAAGATAAATTATGATTAGATATTATTCGTCAAACCCTTCTACATTTTCTTTTACAAAATACTACTACTTTCTCCGGTTAATCTAATGCGTTTAATCACTTAGCAAACACAATACTTATAATTATTTTACAAAAGATGTATTTCAACATTATTTTCTAGTAGAGGTTTGCATACAGGTGACATTAGCGTTTAATACATAATTTTTTATACTTATCCAAACGATACGTCCCAGAACTAATATATTTATTTGTCAGAAAACTTTTTTGTCTCAAAGATTCAAGGATTTAACAGTGACGAGAGGGAACCCTAATATCAGACCAAGTAAAAAATGTATGATGTTTTTATAAGTTCTTAAAAAAGTGACTGCATTTACTGGAAAGAACATTTTTTTTTGTGTTCACTCTTGCAATTAGTAGGTCCACAACAAAAAAGTCATCACACTTATTAAATAGCAAACCAATTTCCGTTAATTTTTAAAGGTGACATTAAATAAAGAAAGGACCCTCTTTTGATCCCCAGCTGTTAGGAAGCGCTCTGTAAGCCAAAAGGTTAATTATAGAAGACCAAATTACCTCTCTGCGTGCTCTCTTTGTCATCCTCTACTTTGTCTTTTTACTTCAATTAGTAGCTATCTAATTAAGTGAAAGCTAATAGGTCGAATAACGTGTAATTAACGATAAAAAGGGAACCTTAATAATACTTTCATTTTAAACTTATCTAGGTAGTTTGAGAAGGATTATTGTTTAAAACTAGAAATTTCATAATCAATTTGTATGTTTTATATTTAGAATACTTAAGCATTTACTACCTATATTG